TGGTTATGTATCTGTGATGCAGGAACCTTCTGCTGGGAGGTTTGGTGGTCATTACCTTATGAAAAAGGGAACTTGTAAGACACCCGAGGATAGATGTCCAAATATCAGACAATGGCTTCTAGCAGCTCAGGACCTGCTCCCAGTCCCACTGACACATAGAGCCACAGGGCTTCCTTTGCACCTACGTGCACCTTGAGCTCCGAAAACGCACGTTTTCAGGCATCTCCAGCTCTAAATATCCTCCAGGTTCTCTCATGTTTTCTTTCTCTGGATTTCACCACACCTTAGCCTTAAATACAGAGTGCCATTTTGGGGTAATTAGAGATTCCTAATTAATTAGAGTTATAGATTTAAGGATTCCAAGCTTGACAAATGAGCTCAGGTAAATTTTGCAGCACAGGCTGGAGAAAATTACTGGCCCCAGCTACCTGCCCTGCCCCTGTGCTGGAGGTTAATTACCGTTTCTCTTGCATAGCCAAAACCACGAGCGCTTCCATCCCAGCTGCTCCAGCTCCCCGTCCAGCACGCAGCTCAGTCGCAGCAGCACCCAGCTGCCAGGCTGCACCAAGGCTTCGCTCAGCCTTTGTCCCACTGTCCTCCAGCAGACAAGGAAGCAGAGGCTGAAGGCTAGCCCACAGCTGCAGCCCTGGCAGCAAGGCTGATGGGGGCAGGTCTTTTCCTTCCCCCCTTTGGGCTGTCTCAGGTCTCCCAGCCACAAGCAGAGGTGCAACAGCCTGACACTAAAGAAACAGCATCTTAGTGCCTTACAAGAGGCAAAGTAACGCACTCCACTCAGTACGCCTCAAAGCCTTGCATGGCTCATGGGTTTTTGTCTGTTTCTTTTCTTTTTCCTTGAGGTTGGTAGGAACCTATCCCTTCTTTGTTTAGCAACCCTGCCTGTAACAGGGGTGCAGCGTCATTTTAAACTGCTTTCTGTTTCTACTGATAAACTCTTTCAACTAACTAGGAGACAGTTTTGCATTGCAGTGATCAGCTGAAGAACTCCACTGTTCAGTGACAGACTGTATGAAGATATTTTACGCTGCTCTTTTTCCTTAGTTGGTGGTGGTTTGACCTGGAAATATAAACTCTGAAGTTCAGATAAAAGATTAATTCTATTGTTTTGTATATTGTACATCTCTGAACTTTCCACACTATTAGAAAGCAGGAATTTTGAGTTTCACAGCATAGAAAGCGAGAGTTTGTACATAGTTTGAATTAAAAATCCTGGGTAAAAATATAAATCAAGGGGAATATTCGGAGAATGCGCCATGCACCAGTTGCAGCCTGGGAGCCAGGGCTTCAGCAGAGGGTTAAAGAGGGTTGTTCAGCCATCAAAGAAGAAAAATAGGCTGTTGTGGGCAGACCTTACACAATAATGGCCCATGGAAACAAGTAGGGATACCCACATTGAGACGAGCAACGACGTCCAATAAAAATGGCATGAGAAACCAGGAGAAATCTTGTTTATATAAGTCTGTGAAAGTGAAAATGAAAGAGAACGCAGCAAATGGTTCCAGTCATCCATGCAGCTCTGCAGATAACGTGACAGGGAAAAGCAGCAATAGCCATGTGTCACAGAAATGTTATGAGACCACAACTGGTTTAGATATTGCACAGTTTGCAAAGGCACCATGCAGCTGGCTGCAGCCAGGGGTTAGGAGTAAATTCTCATTCGCATGGTTCCATCTGCAACATGCATTAACATCACATGCAGAGGGGAAAAAAATTGCAACTAATCTACACAGCAGGATATTGCAGCAAGTCAGACCCACGCTTCCTTTTCTTCTTACATATTAGTAGCTTTTCATCACTATTTCTCTCTGAGGCCATGAAAAAAATCTTCAAATAAAAGTGAGGCAGCCAGCAGGTCAAATGATTCAGGAGCAGAGGCTGACATTAGCACCTACCCTGGCAGTGCGAGTACTTAAAATGGTCTGTTTTGACTTCCTACCTCAGAAGAGCCCTATAGTGTAAAAGCAGTACTGAGTGTGAAAGTTTGAAGAGGGATAAAGAAACAAACCAACCCCCCTGTTCGGGTAACTACTTCTCAGCCTCCCCCAGAAGTTACTGACCTAAGCATGTTCCCGAAATCGGTTCAGCTGACAGACAAGTTCAGGTCAGTTTAACTGTCCTCCCCAGCGAACGGAGCAGAAGACACTGTGCTTTCATGTGCCTGCAGAGCAGATGAGGAAGCTGAGCCTCAACATAATGTACCGTCTAAAACATACAGTAGAGGAAAAGCATTAAGGTAATGGAAACTCAACTTTTCTAGTGTTCCAAACACATAAATAGAACCCGAGCCAGTACATTAGACAATTGACTGGCTTTGTTTGAATGCATGCAAGAATAAATGGAAAGATCCTTATTTCCTATCCCAAGGGGCAATTATTTTCAGAGCCTGGTTTTGTGCACTAATAAAAAGCAAGATTCCATTGTCTGGCAGCTAAAATCTTACTGTATATACTGTATAAGTGAACAGTGCAAAAAGGGGGAAAAAAAAAAAATCAACCTGGCATCACATTCTTAGATGAGCAATTGTCCTTTAGCTCTCACCATACCTAGCATATTTCTGTGGGTAGATATACAATACAGAGAACTGGTGAAATACACAGACAAAAGTCAATGTACATTTGTTTACAGATGACCAAAATGCTCATTCTTCCAGTGTTACAATGGGCCCAAGCAACACGAACAGGAATTCCACAGCTCTCTCAAGCAGGGAGCTGAGTTGCAACTCAAACTACAACACAGGCTTTGCCCCAGTCCACTGCCAGCAGCAAATTCATTCCTTTCTTTGAGCTTCCCCCTCCTTCCTTCTCCCTGTACACCTTCAGAAATTTGCCTTTACATTTCAGAGGAAGAACAGGGAGAATAAGAATTTAAACTTTGAATGTTGCATCTGTTGTTTATTATCCAGAACTGTGCAAAAACACACCGCACTGCTGCAGTTGGAATTGCATTCTCTTGCTGTTTTGTCCAGTGCCATCATTTGCAACGTTTGCCCCAGCCCCACAACAGCTGCATCCATCAGGTGCTGTAATTTCAGGAGCAGCATAAAGGCAGAGCTGGCATCACTCCTGCTTTAGGAAGCTCTGCCATGCAAGTCCCCCTTCAGGAAGCTTTATTTGGCTGCGTTGCATCTGCGATGGCGAGTGCCTCAGATGCAGCCTCACCACTTTGAGGACTTTCTGCAAAATTCCTTACAGCACTGAAACCAGATGGCACATCTATCACATTTCACATGCCAGGATTCTGCAAATATTTATCATTAGAGAGACAAATTATTCCAATAAAGGCAGATTCACTGGAAGGCAAAGCTGGCGGAGATTGATTTTTATTTAGAGGAAGCCTTGCAGTTTGTGTTTAGATTTCAGTTTGTGTTCTATTTAAATAGGCAGCTAGCATGATCATGACAGCTTAGGAAGGGGGGGGGGGGGGAAAAGAAAAAGGATTCTTGGAGATACATAGCATGTTTAATTGAAACCATTAGTTTTACTGGCAAACAGCTCCGTATTTCTGTTCTGTTAATCTGAACAAAGTGCTGCAATTATGACTCAATACATAATGTCCTCTAGTGCTACTCGCCCCACATTCCCCAAGTATAGAAAGAAAACCAAAACTGTTCTCAGTTAACAAAACATTCCATGCTTCTATCCAGAATATTTTTTATTATATGGTTATCATATACATCAGCATTATAGCGGGAACATTTACAAATATGTAAAGATAGTTCAGAACCTCCATTATTCACATACACACGAACTCACACACTCATTTTGCATGTCTACTCAGTTGCCGGGTGGATGATGCACAAAGTTGCTGCTTTGTGAGCACACACCTCAGATTAGATTCCATTTTCAGTGGCAAGAATCGCAATATTAAAAAAACAAACAAGTCTTAAATACCCTGTATAACATACCTGTGCATAAACCTAAAGATATGTTTAGCTTACCCATTACCTTTGAAATACTTACCAAAATTAAAATCTGAAAACCCATTTATAAAAAAAAAGTATTAAAAAGTTCACCATTATTTACAAATCCGATTAAATTACACATAAATTACTATTTACATTCAACACACTGCTTCCCTTAATACACATAAAGCCTCCCTGGAAATTAATTTTTGGCCTTACGAGGCAAAAAAAAGTTCAAAAAAAAAAAAAAGTTATGTGCCTATTTTTCCAAGTTCCCCCCCCCAATTAAAAAACAAAAAGACAATATAAATAGGTGAATAAAGCTGCAATATCCTCAAACACAGAAAGTGAATTTTCTAAGAGTTTTCATTTTGTACTGATCCTCATTAAAAAAATACCGAGATAATTTCCACTGCAGCCAACATTACTGCAGTGTTTAAAAGCCTGAACATTTCCATAAAAATAAGTATGACCAATGCCATCAGATAACTTTATCCACCAGGATTTTAGCACTCTCTTATGGTAATCCGAAAATAAAGGGAAAAAGGAAAAAAGAGAAAATCTTACTATTTTCAGGTGTTTGTAAAAAAATTTTAATGTACATCAATCTATATAGCACTGTTTAATACTGCTTTACTGCTGCTGTTGCATTAAGAGAGAATAAAACCCTGAACATTTATCTGATCACAAATAACCTCCCATGTAAAATCTGTCTCTTAAGAACTACACACAAAGCTGGTTGCCACCAGGTACCGAGATGTGGGAAAGCAATCTTACGTATTTCATCTCTTTGTCTATTTTCAACAGAAACCCTTACAGCACCACTTTTACAGCAAAGGATGGCAGCACACGGGTACCAAGTACTTATCTTCAGGTCACTGCTTCCACAGACAAGGGACACTGCAGCTTTTGGAAAGACTTGTCTCCCGGATCCAGGAGGAGCGAAGATCCTGAATGATTTTGTTGTTCTTGTTTCCTTTTCCCTCCTTTCTTAATAAAGAAGAAAAAAAAAAAAGTACCCAAATTGCTACGTTCCCCCCGGCAAGAAGATCCCAGCCTGCGTTAAGGAGGAAGAGTCTAAAGTCTGTTTTTTCTCCTTTACTTCCTGTGCTTGTCCATTTTATCCATGGTTTTGTTGGTTTCTGCGGGGCTCTGGTCGCCAGTGTTCATGTATGTTTTGTCTGCTATTTTTAATGCTTCATTTAGGTAGTTCTGGACGGATGTCATGGCAGCACAGATGGCAGCGCTCCCAAAGCCATGTGTGATCAGGCTAAAATGAGTCAAACAGCCCTGGATGCCAGGGTCCAGGATGGGACTGGGCCTCGTGTTTCCCAGCGGAGTTCTGTCCTGAGTGAGGAGGTCTGTGAATTCCTTACAGATCTGCCTGCAAGACACAAAGCGAGCGTGCTTTACACCACGGTGCAAATGTGTGCAAAAGCAAATAAAACCACCAAGTCCCCGTCAACTATTTGGCCTTACGTAGGAACGGAGTTTCAGAAACTCATTACAACAAGATAGGGGTGTTCTGCACAAGCTAAACTTGAGGCTTATTCCTTAGGATCAGTTCCTAACAAGCCTGCTGTTTGATCTGGGTCACACCAACACGTACCCACTCTGCACAGCAGCACCCCACCGCTGCTGGCTGAGCTCTGCAGCCTTTGCTCTGGATTTAAGGCAGAGCACAGGTTTAGGGCCAGATTCTATGAGAACTTCTGCAGCTGCAGCCCAGTGATTTAAGAAGACTGAAGCAGCTGAACAGGAGACTCAATCTAGTTGTGCACATTATGTGTACATGCTCTGTTTAATAGGGACCCGGGCCCTGATCCTGCAAACACGAACACATATGCCTGGCAAAACATGAATGGTTAATAACGCTCCAACATATGTTGTTTGCTGCTTGTAAATCTGTCCCCTTGATGTGATTTCACATGAGATGAGCAATCTTCACAGAATCATCACTTTATCAGAATTTCTCAATCACAAACATCTCCCAAAAGATGACTGTTACTGGTGTTAATAGCAATGCCAATAATAATACTGAGGAGCAAAAAGATTAGTGTTCAATAGAAAGCATAAAGTTCAAGCTATAGGAAAGAGATAATCTATTTCTAAGAAATACAGTCTTGTAAAAGCAGTCTCTCTCTCAGGGAAAGCCAGATTAAATCAAGAACAGGTGGAGTGTAGAACCTCTGCACAGGATTTTGCTTGCTTAACCTGAGCACACAACTAGGGCAACTCTTCTCATCAGTTAAACAGGATTTTCTCAGATCCTCTGCATGGAACTGCTGCTTTCAAAAGCAAGAAATTGCACCAACCCCAACCAGAAAACATCTCAGACCAGGACAGAGGGCTTGATTAAACCTCAGCATGGCAGGGGACAGCAAGCACTCCAGCCCCTGGTTTGTAACAGGAGTAACAGATGCTGCCAGCCACTGCCCTGCTCAGCATGTGGGTAATTTGGATACAGGTGTCCTGCAGAGGAGCTCTAATAGAGCATCTCCTTCACCTTTCCCCTCCCTGAGATTTCTAAGAATTTAGTAAAGAACAGGGACTCTTCCCATCTGCTAAAGGCTGCCTTTTCACTGAAGATCTTAATCTCCAACAGTGAAATGGGACCATCCACAGCTTCTGATTCCTGGAGTCCCACGATGGACACCTGCCTGCTGTTACTGCTGACAGCAGCCAGGACCCGTGTCTGAGCTGCCCTTGCTCCCCTGTGCCCACCAGCAGCTCCGTGCAGCTGCACTTACACACACAGGCAGGTCTGCCCTCCGCTCCCAACTTTCCCAGCCTCACCTGCCCCCAGGCACTCATTTCTGTCACACCTTAAGGTACGTTTTCCTGCAACACCCCCAGCCCCCACTCACTTGGCAGCCAGCAGCATGTTCTTCCTGTTGGCCATCTCGTTGCGGCCCATGTGCGGCCGGGTCAGGTACTCAGCCACAGCCTTGGAGGGGAACTCCGTCTCACACACGTAGCCGAAGTCACGAGCAAGGTGCACAGCTTCACCTGCATCAGGCAGAAGGGAGAGCTTGTTACAGATGTGTTACTGCCTATTTATTGCTGGGAGATCAGGAAAATTAAAGCAGGGTGAGCTGGAAGTGTTGTTCTCGTTTGGAAAGGGACGCTTCTGTTTTTTTCACCATACCATCCATCACCATCCTCTGATCAGCAATTATCAGTGTTTCTTTGTAAATTTGCATCAAGAAAGAAAAACCGACGTGATGACAGCTACAAAATAGAAATCCCTTGTCGTCTTACTGGAAAGAAAAGCTTTGGTTTTGTCTCTATGCAGATTCACTGCAGAGCAAAGACTGGAATTTATTCTACAACTAATTTCCCACTGATACATAAGAAAACACAAAACTAAATTCCACCAACATAACAAATTTTTTCCCTTTAATGCATTTCTAGCTCTGTTTTATAATAACCACCTTTGAAAGGCGAATAAGTCAGCTTTTTTTTTTTATTAGGGTAATTTCATCAGGCTTAAGAAAAATGGATTGGCACAAAGTGGTGCTCCATGTAATGCCTGTGTGTGTGTGTGTGTGTGTGTGTGTGTGTGTGTGTGCGCGCATACATACAGAAGCTCTCAAATCCAAATTCCAAGTGCTTTTCATGGAAGCTGCTGTATTACTCCAGTTTGTGCAGCAATGAAATAGCAGTGAGGCAATGCTGGACCATTCTTCATGTTTCAGTCACTGCTTCCACTCCCCTTAAGTTGTACCACTACCAGGAGCTGCTTTCAACAAACACAACCCACAGCCACACACATCCATATATACACACACCCTTCAACTCCACTTAACCAAGAGGGTCCACATAACATGCTGCAGATTAAAGGGGCTCCAGTTTCCCATCAGGAAGCCAGAAGCTATAAATCTCACTTTATATGCCTACATTTATTAGCAAAGCTTCTGAGGACGCTGCTGAGGGAGGGCCGGGCACCGGAGCTGCTGCCCCACATCTCTCCAGTTTCCCAGTGGGGAACCAAACCCAGTTTCATCCCTTTTGCCCTCCCTGCACACACCCTCAGACAAAACCCCAAACAGGGAGCACAGACTGGACAGACGGGGTGTTCTGCAGAGCCTGGCACGCACACGGGAGGAATGGCATCTCCCTGCAAGCACCCTGCTCTATGGTGGGGGCACGCAGCCCTGTGCAGGCGGGTGGGCTGGGGGCAGAGGGGAGCACAGGCCAAGGCAGCACAGTTGTCGCTGCGGTGCCCCCCCGTTGCACTCACTTCAAAATAACACCCCAGCAGCCCATTGACTAGTTGGCCTTCCCGTGCTTTGTTTAGGAGGATAAAAAGCTGCGCACGGGGGAAAGAATGTTTATTTTTAAGACATGTTCAGGACTGACCTTCCACCAAGGATGTCAACAGTGTCACATTTGCAGCTTTCCTTCTACCAGCTGGAAGGTTCAAACCAATCTTATCCAGCTTTTCCCTTAATGATCTGCCACCATTTTTAGATTTGGCTCTGTAATTAGAAAAAAAAAAAAAAAAAGTCTTATTTATCTTCAATATACTTTTTTTTTTTTTTTTTTTTTAAATAAAGATGAGAAATTCCAGTTACTGACATTCAATAGGGTTCTACTGGGGGTAAGATAAAAAGCAGGCTCTTTCCCAATGACCTACTTTTAAACGCTTTGCTACAAACCAGCCAGGATGAAACACAGCAGAGGTCAAAATCAAAACGTGTCAAACTGCACTGCTGAAACCAGCAGCTGTAGAACAATCAGGAGCCAAATTGTGTTAAAAAACAAAACAAAAAAGAATCCCAGACATACAGAGCATCTTTGTAAAGGCAAAACGAGATCGTGAGATTTAATCCAAAAATCGTTCCACAGGAGACGGTTTGTTACAGGAACTGGAAAGCTCCACCAGCAGCAGTTTTAGAGACAAAATCCACTGTTACACAGAGAAGGAGCGCTGCTGTCAGGGCTGTGAGCAGCACTGCTCCCCATACGAGGCACAAGAGCAAAGCAGATTTCCAAAGCCCATTAGGATTCAGCGCTGCTGGGCTTCTTAAAAAGCCGAAGTTTGGTAAAGGGCTGTGAGCTCCTCATTGTCCTCATCTGGCTGCAATCACAACACGCACATGGGGGGGAAAATAAGAATACTGTCATACAAGTGACAAATATTGGCTGGGCTGCAGCGTACCTTCGGAGCACACCTCCCAGCAGGGAGGCATTGAGGCACTCCGGGGGGGAGAGCCGCCTCTGCACCTCCGCCACCGTTACTTTGTACTTCGATGTGGAGCTGAGGAGGGACAGCCGCCCCGGCACGGAGCAGAACACTTCGTTGGGGTTTATGACCACTCCAATCAGTCCGTCCTTCTGGCACGGGAGGCTCAGAGCGCTGTTCTTCGTTAAGGAAATGGGACCTGTGGGAAGAGGAGGGCAGCGGGTATTTTAGAACCGGAGAGAAAAGCGAGAAGCGGCAAGCGGGTCTGCTTTGTGCAGGGGGAGGGCGGGAGAGCGATTTCGTTCTGCACTGAACTGCTGAACAGAGCAGTGGTCTGCCACAGTGCAAGGAGCTGCCGAGAGAACACGGCTTACAAACAATAAATAAAAGGCACATAACCTTCACAACATCCCTCAGTCCTATCCCAAAAAGCTACGAAGCAGCGTGCAAAGTTAGCAAATCCCTTCTCCTAAGAAGCTGAACTAGCTGTAGGCTGTGCCAGCATCCTTCAGCCAGGACAGGGGAAAGGCTCCACCGGGCTCATCCTCCACCTCAGACACACTAGAGAACGCCTCTGGAACCCCAGCAAATTCATAGCAGGGAGTACTGGGGGGATTAAACCCAAAGGAGAACTGAAAGCAAAACACGGCTGTGCGTGGCTGAATGGGGCCAATGCAACACAGATCAGCACTCCCCGCTGACCCACGGCTCCGAATGGGTTAAAGGGCTGCAGTCTCCGACGGGAGGGATTCGGCCGTGCTCCATCTGACAGCGAAATCGCTCTCCCATGAGCTGAAGGCAGCAATCAGCGCCCTGCCCGGCACTTCTGCTTTTCCTCAGTTTGGTGTTCGTTTGAAGTCTTCAAAGCAAAACCTCCACCGATATATATATATATATATATATATATTTTTTTTTTTGAGCACGTATTTGTTTAAAAACAAAAGGAGGGAAAAAAAAAAAAAAAAAAAAGAAAAAAAAAAAGAAGTCCCCAAAGCCCTACAACCAAACTCCTGCACTGAGTCACTGCTGCTCTCACTCCCCGGCTACAAAACCGCTTCGATTAAGGTAAAGCTAAGCAGGCTCACCGCACCGAGCTGATGGCAAATAAGGGAAATGGGGGGGATTAAAAGAAAAACAAAAGAAAAAAGGCTGCTACCGAGCTGAGCTCCCTGGTAGCAGCTGCAGCACCACGCTCAGCCCCGCCGCGCACACGGGAGAGGGGGGGTCACGACCACCGGCAGGCGGGGACGAGCTGCCCCTCGCCAGCTCCACTCCGGAGGCAGCGCACACAGAACCACCCTCAGCTCCGCTTTAGGAGATGATGGAGCATCCGTGCGCCGCTGCGTCACCCAACGTGAGCACTGAGAAGGAAAAGCGAGCGGCGTGCCGCCGTACTCACCTTTTCTAATGACTGTCTGGTCGTGCATTAGTAAGTGTTGGTCTTCCACGTTCTGCAAAGAGAAACGGGAGAAAGTTTTGCATCTTGAGACGTGAGGAGGAATGAATTGAGGGGGGTCGCGAAGCCCACCCGCTCCATTCAGGGGCCGGGAGGAGAGAAAAAGCGACTTTCGCTCCGAAGGTGGGGCGGCGAAGCTGGGCTGAGCGCTCGGGCATCTGCAGGCTGCGGGGTGAGGGGTGGTTACCTGTACATCCTCTATCTGATGGGCCATGTCGTGGAGCCCCAGGTTGTCGGCCAGCGCCGAGGCATCCAGGCCGTGCCCGTGGGGCAACAAGAGGTCGGAGCGCCGGAACGTTTCCCGACGGCCGCCGGCCGAGCCGCTCTCCAGCGCCGAGAGGTGCGGGACGAGGCCGGGCCGGCCGTGCGGGGGGAGGCCGGCGGGCTCCTGGCTCTGGCGGTTGGGCCAAGCGCTCTGCTGCTGGCTGGGGGGCGGCGGCGGCGGCTGGTGCAGCGGGTTGATGGAGAACGGGTCCCCGAGGTGCGAGTAGGGGTCGCTGGATTGGGAGTAAGGCAGCGGCTGGTAAGGGGGGGGGAAGTAAGGAGGCTGGAAGTCGGAGGCTCCGGAGTGGGAGAGCGGCGGGGCCGGGCTGTACAGGTGCTGGCTGACCGCCGAGAGGTGCGGGAGCCGCGGGTTGCCGTTGCTGCTCCCATCGTGGCGGTCCTGGAAATCACACGGAAGGGGGAGGGAGGAGAAGGGAGGCGGCGGTCAGGGGCTGCCGGGCCGCTGGCGGCAGGCGCCGGGCGCTCGAGGCACGACAACAGGGAACAATTTGGGAGGGAGCGGGGGGTGAGGAGAGGGGGAGGCAAAAGCCGCCCTTCTCTATTTTCGGGCATTTCGTAGGAAATCAACCCAACTTGTAGGGAAGAGGTTAAGAACCAACTCCCACCACTTTCATCACAAATACACCGCAGTAACCCCTACACTTCCAAGAACCTATCAACATCTTACAACCACCATTAAAAATAAAAATAAAAAAAATAATAATAAAAGGCACCGGCCCGCTTCCATCCAGACCCGCAGCACAGGCGGCTCCGCGCCCGCGGAAGGGCTCCATTCCCAGCACCGCACGGCGCTCCCCGACGGCTTCTCAGCGCTCGGTCGGAACTGGACGCGCTTTCCCCACTTAAAAATCTCAGCAGTCAAAGCTTAAAAGTCTACATGAAGCTGATCCCGAGATTTAGCAGTTTCAGGCTTCACGGTCGTTAAAATAACAGCGCTGGTTAATAGGAGGTGAATAGGGTCCTAATGGCTCGTGAAGCGAGGGCTACAGATAATCTGCTGCAACCGGGCAGGCAGACGATGACCGGCAGAACCGGGCAGACTGAGACCGCAGCCCAGGATCGCCCCGCGGGGCTGCGGGAAGGGCGCAGGGCGGCTTTCCTTACGGCCGATCCCCTGGAGCGGTCCGACAGCTGCGGTGCTCGGAGCTGCGCGCTCCGTCCTCCCCACTTTTACTGCTCCGATTCACTGTACGGGGCAAAACCCCGTGCCGTAAGGCGCTGCCTCCGGCTCCTTACAAACGGGGATGCCCTTTTTATTTTAACGTCCAGAAGTTTTGGTGAAGAAAAAAAAAAAAAAAATTAGAAATCCTAAACGAAGTAAAAAGCAAAAGGAAAAGGCTCGGGGAACGGAGAGACTCCGTGTGGCGGAGGGACGCGTACGGCCGCCACCGAGCGGGCAGAATCCCGCGGCCGCACAACGCGGCGCTGCCCCGCACCGCCAACCCGACCCCCGCCGCCCCCTCCCCGCGCCTCTCACCTCGCAGTCCTCCTCATACTTGACGTTATCTGCCAGTTTCCACAACATGGCGTCCAGCGTCCAACCCAGGTGTGCGGTACCGAAAGCAGACGAGAGCTCAGCCCCCCCCCACGGGCGGTAAATCCACGTCGGCGCTGGGGAAGAGGAGCTGCCCCCCGGACGGAGCTCAGTTGGCAGGCATGAAGGCTGCTGGCGGACTAAACCCCCGCGCTAATGGTCACTCGGGTTTTTTTCCCTGCCCAGACGCCCTTAATGGCAATAGGATTATCATAACTCCTCCCCAGGGATGGCTCGGGAGCCGCGGCCGGCAGCCACTCAGGAGGCGGCGTGGCCCTAAGCCACTCCTTGCGCGCCCGCGGAGGCTGCGCGGAGCCGGACTCCCCCCCCCCCCACCTTCGGAGCGGCCCCGGCCTGCGGGAAGGGGTACGCGTGGGCACCGCCTGCGGGAGCGCTGCGAGGAGGGCAGCCCCTGAAGTGCCGCGTTCCTTCTCCGTGGCTGTGGTTTATTCTTGGTGGGAGGCGTGCTGTTTGTTCGGCCGCTCCCCCCCGCGTGGAAGTGCGCCCGGACTCCCAACCCACGCGGCTCCGGCGGCTGCTGCTCGGAACGCCGGCAAAACCCTCGCCGCGAGAGCGAGAAAAAGTCCGAGCGCAGCCCGAACTCGATTTGCATAATTGTCGGGAGTTTGAATTACTGATTACAACTTGTAAGCTACCGATGGTTAAGGTATAATTTGCTTAATTATCCGACAAGGTTATTACAGCCGGGCTCAATCCCTCCTAGGTAAAACAGCGCTGATGGAGCGTCCCCGATGCGCGGCGGTGCGGGCGGTGCCGCGGCTTTCACGCAGCGCGCTTCCATCCGACGGCACAGAGCGCTGCCCCCGCAACAGCCCCATCCCTGCGGCGCTGCGCCTCGGACAAAATGAACGTCGTGCTCAAAAGCAGCGACATCTCGCAGTGTTCGAAGGTCCGGATCACCGCTCGTTTACGCGAGAGCGGCGGCTGCGGGTTTGCTGTGCTCGGGACAAAGCCGAGTCCGGTCAGTGCGCAGCTCTCGTGCCCGGCAGCTGCTCCGAAAGGCTGCGGGCGGAACCACGCCGGGATCCCGACCTGAACGAACCTTCGCCACTTTTTTTTCCTGAAGATCGGGAAGAAATAATAATAATAATAATAATAGTAATAATAATAATAATAATAAAACCACCGCCAATAACAATGAAAACCAAACACCCTCAGCACCTCTCCCTGATTAAATGAACGATCCAAAAATAAATCCGAGGCGGACGGGGCTGCTGCAGGTAACCGTTGGCGGTGTTATCAGCCCGACCTGGCACGCAGGTGCTGATTTGCAGCGTTGCGCTGAGCCCAGCAGCAGCGACTCCGCATTATCATTTTTGGTGGAGTCTCTATTTATTTTTTTAACGACGGTGTTTTTCTTCCAGGGATGTTTCTTTGAAATGCAGTTCACGACGATTATTAGCGAGTGTGCTCGCGCGGCTCCTGGCGTCATTAAGACTAGGAATCTAAATAATAAAAGACAGGGGGAGCTTAAAGTTCATTTGTATTAAAGGGACAAGATGGATTTAAAGAGAAACGAGGAGGGGAACCGTCGAGCTCCCCAGGTTTGGGAAGATCGCCCTCCTTTCTCCCGAAGGCATCCTGCGGTGCAACAACGTGGGCGTTTTTACCAGTTTCCCTTCTGCTCGCAAACGTCACACTGAGGGGCGACGCAGTTTTTCTCTTTTTTGGTGTTTTCAAGATCTGAACACCTGCGTTTTGTTTACTTCAGCGGACCAAAGAACGCAGACGAATTCGGCTCACTATTTGATTACGTATACCTATATGTATAATACAGAGAAGTAGAGGCGTGAAAGAGGGATTTAGAAGAAATTACCAAAACAAAAGGACGCCTTGGCTTCCTAGAAAACCAAGAGAGCAGAGGAGGCTGAGCACGGGGTGTGGAGCGCAGCCCTCGAGCCGCCCCTCCCGTAGAGATCCCCGGACCCCCCAGCGGCGCTGCCGAGCCTGGCCCGGCCTCGGTGCTGCTATCGAGGGATGCTCGGGGCACCTCGGGCCTCTTCCCAAGGTTGGGAGGGGGAAGGGAACGCTGCGAAACGTGGCTTTCTGCAGCCCCCCCACGTTCACACCTAATCCGGAGAGAAGCGGGCTGGGCGGGAGGCGATGGAGCAGCTGGGAGGAGAGGCGGCGGCTGGCAGGTGGCAGCTTTCCTGACTTATTAAAAGGGGGGGGGAAAGGAAAGAAAAAAAAAAACTCAGTGCCCTTATTTGCGGACGTCGCCTACTTGCAAGGAGGGCGGGCTGCCGGCTGCTTGCAGGCTCAGCTCCCCCTCACCGCTCTCTTTTTATGAGGCTGCATCTTCCCGAGGGGCCGTAAAGCACCCCCAGGTGTGCGCGCTCTCGGGGAGCAGAGCAGAGCCCGCTGTCCCACTCGGTAGTTTTCCTATTTGGCAGCAATTATAGGAGAGCGTGGGGATGCTAATTGGTTACATACTCCTTCCTCAAAAAATTATTTAAACGCGCACGTATCTCTGTCCTTAACGCCGCAGAAACCTGCCCGGCTTTTCGCTTCGGCTTCCGCAGAGCAGCATAAAGACTTCCACAGCCCCGGAGTCGTTCCGTGTGACTCCATGGCGCGTGTGGGGAGCGCTGGGAGAGCAGAACTTCAGCCCGGCCGGGCTCTATGGGGGGCTTCCTTGGGCGGGGGTCCGGCTAAGCTCAGAGCGCATCGTTGCCGCTCGGACCCGTCCTGCAGGTCTACGGGGGGAAGGAGTCACGAGCACCTGGGCGCAGAGCAGCGCGCCTGCGCAGCCCCCCCCGAAATACCAACCAAACAAAAACGCCCGCCCTGGAGGCGCAGGGGGGGGATTTCCCCGTGGCTGCCGGCACCGGGAGCATCCCTGACCGGCGGGAGTCTCTCTGCGCGTGGCGGCCCGGCAGCTTTGGCTCCGGCGCCAGCGGCGCTCCGGGATCCCTCCCGCACCCCGCGAGGTGGCAGCGGGTTTTACCCCCGGCCATCAGAACCACAGCGGCGCCGGAGGCGAGGCGGGACAGGGAACTGCGAGCATCCTTTGCCCCCAGCTCATAGCTGTGGGCTGGGAACGTGCGGTCGGTGCCCTTTGCCTGCCTCTCTGCCAGCCCTCACTAATGCAGGAGGCGAGGGTAAAGCGTGCCCGCATCGCAGCTGCTTTTTCCCAACCTATTAATTTGCTTAATAAACGCGAAGTCAGCTCTGCTTCCTTCCCGCTCCCTCCCAGAGGAGCAGAGTCCCCCGGCCATAGCGTGCTGCCCGCCAGGAGGCTGTGCTTAGCAATGCATGGGCAGAAGTGACAGACTTTGACACCCGGCACTTCGGGGCCCTAGGTTAGATGTGGCATGGCATGTGGCAGAGGCTTAGCAGCGAGGCACGGCTGCCCGGGGCTCCTGCACGGAGCTGCACGCACTAAGTTTTGTGCACGGCAGGAGATGGGGCTGAGCCACAGCACGGGGAGGGTGAGCAAGAGCCCAGCTCTCAGCCTGGCCGTGCCTCGGAGGCAGGCGATGACCATGAATGTCACTGCAGCTGCATTTACTTCCATCTCATCCTTTCAGTGAAAGCAACATTTGCAGTGCTGGGTTCCGGCAGGTGGGAATGAGGGAGAAAGGGTTTATGCTCCCCAAGACCCCTGCATGACTACCCCATGATGCTCCTCCTCAGGGCTGTGACATTTTGCCTGTGTCTGTCCATGCTGGAGAGATGATTTCGTTTTTCCTTTTTATTCCCTCTGTTTTATGTCCAGCAGGAACAGCAATGGCATCAGCTTTGGTGCTGTGAGCCGGCGCTGCTCCAGAGGAAGCAGCAGGCTGTGTGTGTCAGTGCTGCAAGAAGGCTCCACATCAAAAAAGTGAAGTTCAGACCACCATAGTGCTAAATGAGAAATCAGAATACACACATCTAGCTCCCTTCTGAAAGCAAAAAGAGAAACAGCTTTTGGCATGATATGTGTAATTCATACTTTAAAAAATAAAGCCTCGATGGATCATGCATTCCTACAGCTAATTGCCTATACTACAATAGGAATAAAAGCGCCAGTGCCACAAAAAGAAGGATTCCAATAGGCCAAAACAGCAGAAAAGCAAATATTTCAAATGCAGGCATAGAAATGAGCTGAAAAACCATTGCTCAGCACAGTTCAGGCTGCAGCTAATACAAATCCCTCAGTGTGAAAATGTGAACCTTCCATTCCTTTTGCCCTATCAGAAAAAGGAGCGGGCACTGCCACTGCGCTGTACTTACACGGTAAAACATGGAATTAGATGCTCTCCTTATCCTTTCCTCTGCTTTCAGGGCATATGCAGACAGTCTGATGCCTTAAATGATGCAGCACACTTTCAGAAGGCAACAGCTGAGGCAGAGTGGGGATGGTTTGGGGACAGTCCCTCCTCTGACAGTGGGATGGGATATAAGGGCTCTCGTCCCCAGGGGATCCTGCAGGCTCTGCTCCTTCAGGGCATTCACCACATACCCACTTCTCCATGTACGTATGTATACACACGTGAGGTTAGAAATCCAGATAGACTCATTTATTAAACTTCTACTTTCAAAGATGCTTCAACACACATGCCTAGGGAGTTTAGAAGAGATGCAGGCAGTACCTGTATGGTACAAATGGAATTTACAGAACTATTCACCTTTTTTCTACTTACCTGCCTCTCTTCAGTCATCCCAAAGGGATAATGAAATCAGAATGACCTCCATGTGGAGAAATTGGGTCACGTGTGCTGAAGCTGAAGATTTTCCCTGCGGGCAATTTAAAGAAGAAAACAAATTTGCTTTCTCTTTTTACTCCTGTAGTCCAGATTCTTGAAAACCTGCAATCCCTCCCCATAGTCTTCATCTGAGCCTTCCACCCAGCACTGGGGCAGAGGAAATCTGAACTCGCATGCACTGATATCACACACATATCTGATATGCCATGCAGGAGAAAAGCAACACAAAAATCATTTGGAGACAAATCCAAACCCCCAGAGCCTTTCGCTCTTTTTTACCAC